TTATCTTTACAGCATTATCATTTTTTAAGACTGCCTGGTCAATAACATCTTCCAGTCATCTTTACTCCTTGATCTTCCCTGCATGTTGTCAGCAAATAGAACATAACAAGCTCTGCTCCAAATCATGGGTACCGTTGGGGCTGATCATTTCTTTTTGATACTTACTCACAGAGCAAAATGTGTGCAGGGTCTTTTTTGCTTTAGGGAAACTATTTAGCAAATAAATGGGTAAATTTACGATTTCATGCATTAACAAATGACAGAAAAGTATGCAGAATTTTATAAACAAAACAGGAAAACATCAGCATATTTGGCTTTCAAGTCAGTCTTAAAGAATACGATCTTTAATATGTATTTTATGGCTTTTCAAGTGCATGTATAATTGCTTTTCAATCGTTGACGGACTAACAAAACAAACAACTACCTCACCTGTGAGAAGCGATATGTTCCTTTTTGTGGAAACTACGACATCCAACAATTGAACGATTGAAGTGTTGGCATTATAAAGAAATGCCAAAAGATATCGTCACAGAATATGGAACTAACGATATCCATATTCTGTGATATCGTGTTTGTTTTTGAAACTCTTTTTATTTACTATAGACACCAGGGGGAGGTCGAGAATATTATTTTTCTGCAAAGCGATCATTTCAGCGGAAATACGTCCGTTGGCCGCCATTTTTTTGGCATCCTTGCCCCAGTAAAGTTAGCCCCTCCAGTTATTATAGAACTCAATGTATAGAACTCAATGGACCAGTGTAGCTGGATGATGAAACAAATTTTCGCTAAAAATTTCGACACATAAAAACGCCATATTTAGCGACGCATTTTTTAATAATGCGGCTGTAATCAAAATGATACTCACATGTAAACAATCGACGAAGGTTTTTAACAATATATTGTCAATATATTGTCAATATATTGTCAATATATTGTCAGTGTTAAGGTATTTAAAGCATTTAGAAACTATAAACGTTCCAATCTGATATATTTCTTGCATTTTGCTCGTATTGATTGTAAGTTATAATATGTTGTGAAAGATTAACTATTCAATTTTATGACTGATGCACTCGCATCAGTTGCACCAGCCTGGATCGGCCCCTGGTTGGACGCAACATTCCATACATCCCATGTTAAGGCAATAGGTATGTGTCAAATGCACAGTATTAAACATTGCCGTACAAATTACTTAGGCATTAACTATATCTTTTTATGTATTTTTAGACTGGTCTCTGCGTTGAATAATTTTTCAATTTTATGTTTTTAGATCAAACACTTTCAATAAGCATTGCTCAAAGGCCTCTACATTTGTTAAGATGTATAGCTTGCTCGAAGATCTGTATGTTCGATCTGTATTTTTTTTCAGTAGAAGTTGTAAACGAGATTCTATATTGCACAAACATATGGAAAAAATTAAAAATGCTCTTAAATTGCGCAATCTTTTGAAGCCATACGAAATGCCTTAGCGGACATAGCAAAAATTGACAACAACTCATTAACCAGAACCAAAGCAACCTCGCTCTGTAAGAACATGGTCAAATTTGAGTTTGTTTTTGCAGTTATGTTTATGAAGTTTATTATGAGAAAGACCAAGATCCTGACAGTACAGATGCAGAAGCCTGAGCTCAATAGCCTTGATGGTCTTCAATTGATTGATGAAACTGTTAGATCACTGGAAAGAATGCGGAACACTGAATCCGAACTGAATGATCAAATAGATGCGAGTGTTGAGTTTGCGAAGATTCTAGGCTCCAATCCCGAGGAAAAGTTTGCTAGAAAGAGTAATAAAAGATCAAGTAGACGTTTGGATGACAACCCTGAGACTTTGGCAATTATGTCACTAAAAACTAACTATCGAAAATGCATGATTGAGGTCCTCGATTCCCTCATCAGAGAATATAGAGATAAAATAAAAAGTTGTTTGCAAAAAATAAAACCCTTAGCTGTTATCCTTCAGCCTCCACTGACTAAACCAAATTTTGAACAAGTTGAAAAGGTCACCGAACTTTTTCCTCCATCAATAAGCGTAGATTGTATGTCACTGTATGCAGAACTTGAGATTTTTGTTAACTTTGTAAATGAGACAGAGAAAGAATGTAAGACAGTCCACGACGTCGGAAACACTGCTTTCAAAAATAAAGAAATTTTCCCAAACGTTTATAAATGTTATTAACTTCTGTTTACTGCTCCAGTAAGTGTGGCTGATATTGAAAGATCATTCAGCAAAATGAAAATTGTCAAGAACTATTTGCGCTCAACAATGAAAGGTGAAAGGCTGGAAGAACTCATTGTCCTCTCAACCGAGAAGGATTTAACAGATACAATTCATCTGGATGTAGTACTAAAATCTTGGGCAGCCAGAAAAAACAGTAAAAAGCAACATCTCAAGAGTACGTTGAGATAATTCTCACTTAAGACTCTTGATATGAGAACAAATATACATTGTTTTACTGTTATGTCCGAAACGGTTAAGGTTTATATTTGAAAAACAGGTTTTGTAATAATGTATGTGTTAGAAACCTAATCTTCAATAATGTTTACTAATAAACAACGTATGCAATAATAGAAATGATTATAATTTGCTAGCCATAATGATTAAGGGTTTTTTGTGGGCAACGCCCTTTTGCAGGGCAAATTTTCTCCACCTCCCAATTACTTCAAGTCTAGTTACGCCCCTGCTGGCATTGATCTATAACTTTTTTGTATAATTTAAACTGCTCAGTCAATTTAGTTCAATTTTTGACATTTGTAAGTTGTAAAAATCCGGAATGAAAACCTTTCTCTGTACTTTTGCAGTTTTGAGCTTTCTGACGATGTTTTTTTCCTGAATTGGCCCCTCTACATAGCTATTGATAATGAAATATAAAAAATGAAGAAAGAACATTGGCTAAAAAAGATAATTCACTTAGTGGCTATATTTAGCAAAGAAGTTTGGGTATGTGAAAAAAGCATCATATAATCAGTCGCGTAGCCAGCTCGCAAATTTGGTCCTGCTGTGCTCATTTTTTTGCGTCACTCACTGTAAAAGCAACAGATTTCTAAAGAAATAAATAATGCTAATGATCTAAAATTTACATAACGGACCAAAACTTGCGTGCTGGCTATGCCAATGCATATAATTAAGCAATTTCAGATTCCTGCAATTATTTTCAACTCACTAATACATTAAATGTAATGGCTAGATTGCTCAACTTTCCAATACCGTTTTTTCAATACTCACAGCTGTAGCTATATAAATAAATTTTTTAATCATGAGCTACTTTTTAACAAAACAGTTTTCTAATATAATTTAAATTAAGAAAATGTTGTATAACTGTGCTTTAAAAAAAGTTAAAGGATTTTTTGTGTTGCTGTCACATCAAGAGCTTTCGTCTACACAAGCACGAAGAAGTATTTATTATTGCACTTTTGATATAGTGTTTAAAACTCAATATATATAAACAAGGAAATATGTTTTCTGTCTCATTTATAAAATAGCCTTTTAGAAAACAAATTCACTGATTTAAGTACTTAATTTTCGCTTATATTTTTCCATTAAAATTTCCCGCTCTATAGCCAAAAACTTTTCTATATAGTTGTATAGTTTTCTTATATACTTTTTTCATATGTATGTTTTTCAAAAGACTATTTTATAAATGCTAATAACAACTTTATTATAAAAATACTAATCATGCATGATATCACCCAGAATGTATAATCCGGTAAGATATATGTTCAGTCAGAGCTGAGACACAAGGAAACTGTAATACTCAAGTGATACCGGTAAAAGCTCAACGGAAAGTGTTCTATAGAAGAACAGTGATAAAGATTATGTGTTTTCTTTACCAAGTTTCATCAATGAATTAGATGATGTATGTTCTATCCACAGAAAGAAATTTCATTGCCTTTGAAAGCAAGGTAGATCAGCTGTTCATATCATGCAAGTTTTGTGCTTTGTTTTCTATGTGCAACGAAATGAAAAATTGTAGGGGTGGTAGCATTTGTACAAGTTAACATGACATTACCAAAATGTTTACAAAAAATGTCGCTAAAATTTGAAATTGTAAAATGTCCGATAATTATTCTACGAGTATATTTTAAATCTTGTGGTAGAAACCATTTCTATGAGGCAAGGTCTCGAAGTCCATAGTACAAAAACAAAATAACAATATTTGTATCGTAATAAATATGCTTCATTATCAATTACTACGTTACGACATCATTTATTATAAACAAGCTTTAAAAAGTTTGTAATGTGCAGCAAATGGACAAAAAAGCAATTACAAAAAAAAAAATTGTGATTTGTAAGAGCCATAATTTAAAATACAAAGTCCATTTAATTTTTAATCATTATAGAATTATTCCGCCGAAAACGTTCCTAACTAGCAACGTTTGTATGTTTGATTACAAACTTTTTCGTTGGCTTCCACAGCTATTGCGTTAGATGTTCCTTTAGTTGGTCGCAAGTATTCCATTCCAAGACTTTTGTACAGGACCGCCTACATTGTGATGAAAAGGAATGATTTCATTGTAGAAATTGATAAATAAAAAAAAACTTGAAATAGAATGCGAACAGTAAGATCGTCAAACATAAATGTTTGAAGGACATAAATGACGATCATTTAAATAGATGAAAAGGTCATACGAAAATCATTTTAATTATTGAAATTGATAACTGAAAAATATCTGAAACTTGAATTTTTTGCTGAATCATGCATGGTGACTTTAAAATGTTTAAAAACCTTTTATAAATATTTAATTCAGTAGAAGATGGAATTACAATATAAATACGGTATCATAAATACTTACATTTAGACTTAGTTTTGTCTCGTGGAATTTTTATCATCAATAGAAAAAAACAAGGAATGTTATTCTACTTTTGTGAACTTCCCCCTAAAGGCTAAAGTTGAGTTTTTGTTATGTGCTTTTATTTCATAAAAGATGAACCCCGCAATTCGCTTTTTCCTAACACATCTGAGTGCTGTCTTTTTACGAAGCTTCATTATATCCGGTTAGGTATCAATTTGCTGATTGCAGCATATTTACCAGACATCATTTGGCGACGACAATCTAGCAGCTCAGTTGTCATTTAATAATCGAATGAAAGCTATGTACCAACATCTATATGTATAATGTGATCAACTCAATGTATGGTAAGTCAATTGTATTTGTTTATCAAAGTTTATGTATTACTTATTCGACGCTAAATTCTTTAACTGAAGGAATGCGGATTTTGAGAGCAAGGCGACCTCATTGTGTCACACGACAGTCTGATATTTGAAGAGTCTGACATTTAACCAGCAATAATTGTATAAGTTAAAAATGTTGTCAATAGCTCGTGCATGTTACCACAAAATTTGTGTGATTTTATTTTGACAACGATCTCAGTTAATGCCGACTTACTGCGTGTCATTAAATCTATATAATGTGGCATGATCGTTTATTCATATACAAGTGTCTCGTTTGGCTTTCACACGAATGTACATTAATAAACATACACCGTAAACTAATAAATGCCTTATCGGTAAATTAGTTATATAATTTATATATATATATTGATAGAGTGGTATGCTTCAACATGGAAAACGGGCATTTCTATAGAACAGCACAGCTATTAATGATGTATTTTGATTTGATCTGGTTTGCCCCTGTGTAAGCACTAGTTTTTCCGTTCAAACATATTTACTATAACATCTGTTGCCTAACTAATCATGACATAAAAGCCATTTAATTGAATAAGGAACAACAAACGACCACGTAGTTGATTTTTGTATTTGCTCTGTTATATGAAGAGAGCGTTTACATATGATATCAGATATGTGTGAAGCTAGAAGTTAATTAGTAAAACGGATTTCCTTTTCGACATGAAGCATAAAAACAATCATTTAAGTACTCATTTACATTTTTGCTTCCAAAGCTCTTTTCCTTTTATTTTTATTTGATTTTCTTATTTCAGACACTCTCTTGGAAACTTCATAGCAAGCAAAATTCCATTGAAGCTTCATTATAAAACACCACGTGTAAGTGCATGCTGACTCATCATTGCCTAAAGGGCAATGCTCAATTAATTAGTTTATAAAGTAATTTGTATTTACACTCGCAGATACGTGTCAGCGCTTAAAAATCAAATAAATCAAGATAGTTACATGAAGATGTGTAAAATTTTCAATCTGCAACAAAAAGTTTGCGAATTCAAACGAATGCAGATACGCGCATTTGGATTTAGTCATTATTGATAAGACGATAATTGAAAGTGTCGATGATGTACTTAAGACACATGTTGACTTTAGCATAAAGTATCTTTATGGAATATTACATGCAAAAAACACATCATTTATTCAAGTGGAATCTATTTCTAAATTACTCTTCATAGTTTTGTAGTACATGAAGTCGAAACATTTTTTGATACATGCATTAAAGCAACAAGGTACGAGCGCCAACAAGTGGGGCTTGGCAAATAGCAGTACGTAAGATGAAGTAGATTAACGATTACTATTTAAATATTATTATACGCGCCAAACGTACATGAATAATTTACACATTCGTTTTGTAAGAACGAAATGCGATTCTAATAATAAGAGTAATTATTTGCTATTTCTGAGTATGAATATAGTTGCCCAATATAAAACTTTTAACATGGCCATGGATAAACAATTTTATTAATAATAACGTTTCGTCTTTAACTTTAGACGTCATCAGATTCAGATTGGAATATATACATATGGGAAGTTAGAAAGCATATATATGCTAATTATAGAATACTTACAGAGTGTTAAGTTACAATATATAGTGATAACAGTGATGTGTGATTTTGTGTTAAGGGAGGTTTAAGTTTGGAGATTAGGAGGCTTTCGTTGATGGATAGTTCGCATGCATCAGGAGAGGAGGATATAAGTTCATGTTAAGAGTTTTATGTTTGGCAATTATATTCGTACTTAGATTCGCTTTCCGCCTGGCAAACCGTTGTCACAATTATTCGCTATACTTTGCAAATATTCTGTATTTAGTATTAACTAAAGTCAACATACTAACAGGGACTTTTTTAAAATTGTGTTAAAGTTCAAGGTAGCATTGCAGCTTTGTAGTTATTTTCTAGATTCAAAATTATTTTTTTTATTTTATAGCTAGATATTGTTGAAAATGGCTGGAGAAACATGCTTCACAAAGAATCAACTGCATTTTTTCCGTATTTGTCACCTCGCAACAAACATTTTACCTGCTCAACTTCGCATTATCTTTGTTGACCTGTGGAACAAATATTTCTCAAGCCAAAACGGGACTTGGTCAAATACTTCAATGAATGGAGCTATATTTTTCTCAAAAGAATCTGAACTAAACAAAAAACGAAACAGGAACATGTTGAATGAAATGAAACATGGGGACATAGAAAAATGGGACTGTACTATGCTGTTTTATGGTATTCTTTACTCTTCTTCCATTGGTCAGAACTTGTGTCCCTCCATTCGTGGCTACGTCAATCATTTGCGGGATTTTCGCAACAAATCTTTTGCTCACGTTAGTAAAGGTGAACTGACAGCATGCGACTTCCAAGCTGCTTTTAACCAACTGCTTCAAGCTCTTGTAAGCTTGCAATGTGATGTTTCTGCAGTGAAGGAAGTTCGAAATTTGAATTCTTTTTCAACGGAGGAAATTTACGAATTGAGATCAAAGTTAATGATGGAGAAAGAAGCCCAAGCTAAAATCGATTTACGAATTTCGGATCTGGAGTCACGAGTTGTCGTTCTGGAAAATTGTTGCTGTAAGTTTTCGAATGATGACGATGATGTATACTCAAATCTAATTGTTGACGAACACACTGCTCAGAACAGCAATGTCCGCTTCAAGATTTTACCAGATAAACCAAAGCATAGAGTAGTCAAGCGCAAGCAAGTCGATGATACTGTAAACAGTTTGCATGAACTAAGAACATTGCATGATGGAAAAATAACAGGTGCGTTTATTGTTGGTCATCCTCTGTCTGGTAAAACAGAATGTGCTGCAAGTATTGCAAATATCCTTGTGAATAAAGGACTTGAAAATGTTGCCATAATGAATGCTGAAACAGATGAATGTTTCTTGCACTCACTGAAAGAATTAACTAAAAAACTAAATTGTCGCACAGCCAGTTTTCCATCGCTTGAAAAAGCAACGGTTCGATCGCAAATTGAGCTTCTTTCAATGCTAATTAAAGAGAAACTCCTTGGTTTGTCTTCAACGTGGCTGATCATCTTGGATGGTGTTTCAATGGAGACAAAAGATCTGTTAGACTATCTTCCTCGTCCAGGAGAGCAAGGTAAGGTCTACTACCAAATACTTGAGCATATTTTTACAATTCGAAAAAGAAGTAGAATTTCGAGCTGCCTTTGTGTAATGCCTCCGAGGTTGAGACGGTTCTTGAACTAAAAAAAACGAAACGTAAAATCGTCAAAAAGATTCCCGATAAAGTACACTGCATGACTAGGTCGAATAACCCTTTCTTTTTGTGTTTGTTTTTTTATCAGTTTTCCGTCTTGTTACCAGTTTTTCGGTTTTTTAATACTTGGCTGGATGAAAGTTGACAAACGATTTCTAACGCAGAATTAGATACTTTGCCCTTATGTGCACTGAGCGGGTAGAATGATTAAATCACTAAATTGTCAATATTCTTATTTCACAGGATCTGGCCAGATACTGGTAACAACATACGACCATTTTATTGTGCCCAAATGTCCTTACACTGTTTCAGTTACAATGGATCAACTGACCATTGACGAAACAAATATCCTCATGAATTCACTTGTGGGCGAAACGGTGACAGAATTGGCCGAGGTTATCGGGGAAATATTAGATTTCAATGTGGCTTTTATGGTGTCTGCCGTTAAAAAAGCGAACCAGATATCAAGAAGGCAGAATTCAACGTTAGTTGATGCTCTACATCAAATGATAAAAAATGTGAAAGAGTGTCATAAAGAAGAAGATTGGGCTTATTTTATTGCAGCCTTAGACGAAGTCGCGCAAGCAAGAATTAAAACTGTTTTGAAGACCTTCATTGCACGAAGTGGTCTTATCAAAGAGTTTCTTCAAATATGCACCCTTGCCAGAGGAAAAATCGTTTCCCTTTCTGCAGTGTCAAATTTTCTTACAAGTTCTTTAAACTTTGAAAAAAGCGATGTGGAGTGTGCAATTAAAAACATCTCCTTCGTTCAAATTTTGGATGGAAGAAACATACGCATTAATCGGGTTTTTTATCAGCTATTACTTGATTTGTTTACTCCTGAACTCGGCGATGAAAAAATGGTTTTCCGTTTGATGAAACTTTGTCGGTTTTTTACTGCTAACTTGTGTGATCCCGAAGTTGCTAACATGTTTAAGGAAATGTCCTTCAATATTATGAAATACGTTTCTTTTCTTGATGTATCAAAGTCTGAAGAACTTAAAATATTATATTACGATCTAGGGAAAGCATTTTTGTGTGTTTCAATGGACTATGCCTCGGCTCTGCGATACCTGACAGCGGCGATGTCGATATTTGAGAAATCAAATACAACAGAACATCCAGGATATGCTCGACTTTTGAACATTTTAGGAAATGTGTTACGGCTCACAGGCAAATTGGAAGCAGCCAAAAAATATTTGAGAATGTCGTTAAAGCTTTTACAAAACAATTCTGGTGGAGACGCAAGTGAAGATTTTGCAAATTGCGTAAGCAGTCTTGGCTTGGTATTTTTAGCTCAAGGTGAGGAAATTTTAGAATGAGAGTTTTCGCCAAGCAATTTTCAATTGTAATTGCAACTATGCTAAATGTGTTATGTAAAAAAATGAACAGCAATAATGTACTGGAATTTACATTACGTGACCAAAATTGCAGGCTAGATACTCCACAGTACTGCTCAGAAGTAACTTTGCACTGCGTTCGCGTTCTATTTCCGTCCCATTTGCATTTTGAATGCGGCCGGAACGCGTTCCAAAAATATAAGGAGACGCGTTCTGAACTCGTTCCCGACCATTCAAATAAACTCGGTATGTCATCGGAAATTTCCGAAATTGAACACTTGTATAGCGAGTATAAATGACACATGTTAACGCCGAAATGGTAAAAATCCGTGTTTATTGATCAGTTTTGTAGACAAAAGCTCATCAGCATATTATTAGTTCTAGACATACAATTATTAACAAGCTAATGGAAAATATGCCTAAATTACCGATATAGCTAACGAAGTTCTATGTGAAATGTATTTAGTCGTGTTATGTATCGTCATAATAATTGGTCTTTTGATCGATCCTACCATAAAATTCGTATTATTGCTGCCACAACTGCTTATTTTTGCTTTGCGGAGGCCAATGTCCGTATTCTTAAAACACACTTTCACTGAGAGCGACGAAAAAAATTCCGCTCCTACTAATCCAAGAAAAAGTATTTCTCTCATCGATGACAAAATTATTGCGAATCGATGGAGATAAAATAACGTCTTAAAATAATTTTGAAGCCTCACTAAGTGAATGTAAGCGTGAGTAAGCTGTTACAATTCGGTCATAACAGTTTGAATTATTTCGAAAACAAAGTCAAAAGCATATTCATTATTCAACAAACAATCTGTTGCATATCATTAGCCGTTATCACAGCAAAAAAAACTCAAATTCAAATTCAAGTAACCGTTCTACGGCGTTTTCGGTGATCATTAAGGGAGGTTTTCAAATATGCTCTTCAGAGTGATAACTTTTGAAAACGCTGGTTTTGTGTTTACGTGTGGACGGGCGAAAACGGAGGTTTTTGAAAACGATGACGTCAATAATTGAGTCCAGTCTCATGATTGAAAGGAATAAAAACATCAAGCGCAAAACTTACAACCTTTTTCTTAAGCGTCAAAACTCATTTTAGATGTAATTTTCAAATCATTTGTTTTAATTTTAAAGGTTTTGTGAATTTACTAAGTCAAAGCATAGAGAAATTGCTCAAATAAGTTAATTATTGTGTAAGTATTTAATCATTTTCATTTGCCAAAACGATTTAAAGCTTCGCTGACTCCCAGTTACCCGGGCTCATGTAATCATTTTTTCTGATGTATCTTAGCTGACAACAATTGTCACTGAGAACCGACTTGTAAAATTATCGGATGAATGGGCTTTAGACTGTTAAAATCCCAATAAAAAAGTCTATAAGCTAGCAAGATCTAAAAATAGAAATTACACTGATAAGACAGGAACAATACTTATTTCTAAAATCAATTCAAAGGCCTATTCAATTAACACTCGTGACAGATCATTAGCGTCATCATTAAAAAGCTATCATTTAGGTTTGAAATATTTTTTGGTTTACGACCACCACGCGGAGCATCGCTGATGCTTCCAGTCTTTGAGTAACGCGCAAAGAAACGACATATTGATATTGTAGAAATGTTTATACCCTCTTCCTGGAGCAATTGTTTCATTTCGGTCTGCCTTACGTTCCGTGATTGCAAAGCAATCAACCTTTCTCTCGCATATATTCCGAAAGTTTTCCCATTATAAGTAAAGCACGTGCGGTAAAAAGTGTAAACAATATGAGTTATGACGTTTGTTCTAACTATGAATAGTAATGACCAAGGGCTGCGCAATACTATCCAATGATTACCGATCAATAATCGGATGCGGCCAAGAACGCGTTTCGATGTGCGTTCCATCTAAAGCCGAACGCAATTGGAACGCAAATTGAAAGCAACTGGAACGCATTTTGGAAAAATCCGGATGCGTTCCGAACGCGTTTTCGGTAAACTTACTTCTCAGCAGTACTGTAGAAGCAGTCCCATTTGTATTAAAGTGCCCCTTTCGGCAAAAATTTTTAATAGCGATATTAAATTTAAGTGTGATTTTTAACGAATCAGTGAAAAAAGTTTTTAAGTTTGTCAAATCATTCCATTTTTATTGCTATTTAAAGTTAGCAGAAATGTTCCTTTTAATGGACATTGTCCGTCGTTCGAAAAGTCTTGAGCGGCTTAACTTTTGTGACGTCATGCAAGGGATTCCTCAATACAAGATATATATACCAACTACCTTGGATGACGTCAGAATTTGGCTAGATCCAGATTTCATGCCACGACACGACAGACAAGCTCCATAACAAGAAGAAAATTTGACCAAATTGAACCAATTTTTCCATCAATACGTTTGATATTACACCAAGTTTTGCTATCTCTAATAAAAGTTTTTGCTGATAGGGGCACTTTGAAAACGAGCTTCATTAAATTCCTTTTGCTTAGTTGGTACAACAAGATGGTCGGCATGACGTTATTCTTTATTTATTAAAATTCCATAAAAGTATACTTGGTACATAGATATTCATAATTTGTTTGACAAGCAATTTCTAATTTGGAGGGAATGGGAATAAATGTTGTTGATTGTTTGAAATTTTCTTTATTTTTATGAATCAGGATTCTCGTCTCATGAGAGATCGAATTATAACAATCGATTTGAGATCATACTTTCATGAATCATCCATTTAAGCGTTCGTTGTGAAAGACTTAAAGCATAAAAGACATGCATGTGCTATACTAAGATCTACTGCATTTAACGTTAGGAAACATGAAACAAGCAAGAGAATTTCATCACCGCGCTTTGTATATTCGTGAGCAGCTCCATGGCAACGAACATGTTACAACTGCAGCGAGCCTGAATAACATTGGTGGTGTTTATCATGAGTGTGGTGATCTAGCAAAGGCAAAAAGTTACTACTGGAAAGCTTTGGAAATTAAAGGTCGTAATTACGGCTGGGATTCTCCACACATGGCGAACAGCTTCAACAACATTGCTGAAATATCGCACGAACAAGGAGAATTTCGTGACGCAATTTTAATTCACCAACGAGCGTTGAAGATACGACAACGTCTTCACGGTGATGATCATCCTGATGTCTCCGACAGCATGAATAATATAGGTGTAGTATATCGAAAACTTGGAGAGTTGACGACAGCTAAAAAGTACCACATGAAAGCTCTTGATATACGGAAAAAGGTGTATGGTGAAAAACATTTGGAGGTAGCTTCCTCGTTATGCAGTCTTGGTGAAATCAGCTATAATGAAGGTAGGCAGTCATAGTTCTCTTTATCTTTGTAAGATTCAGCAGCAATTCTCGTGTTATTAAAACTTTCAGATCCTTGCATGTTTTTCTGTGACCAAAAAAATTAATTCATTAAACTTTTCCAAACCATGCAACCCTGGAACGAATGCTGAAGTTATGTTACAAATACCTTACATATACAGTTCCTTCAAACAAAACCTCTTGTGTTGTCGGTCTTTTTATTGTGGGTATGTTACTGTAAAATTCCGTGTGTGGGTTTCATGTGTGCAAAATCCACTCCTGATTGTAGGTACATCAAAATCACACCCTAAATATGGGCAGAATTTATAAGAGATATGGCGTCTAACCCTTATCGAACTCAAATTGTTAGCTGTTATAAGTTCGTCAAAATAAACTGCCACTGAATCTTGTTCAGCGAATTATCACGATGCGTATGGGGTAATATATTTTTAAATTTTGAAGTAATTATAAGTTCAATTTATCGAGCTTGTTGTCTACGACCAAATTACAGATGCTTTCATCAAGTATAAAAATGTTGAAAGGCCTTATTATTATGCTGAATAAACTGAATTCACTGGTATTTTCGTTATTCGGTCAAAGTCGGTTAATGAAAATGTATCTACCATAAGTATTTTAAATGCTTATTTACACTTATTGTCTATCTATTTGGCTTTGCTTTAAAGTGGTACTATGACGAAAACTGAACGTTAAAAAATCATCGATTTTAGCATTCAATAGTTTAAACACATATCAATTATTGCTTTCGTAAAATTTAAGCAAAAATAATAGTATAACGAGGGAGTTATGAACATTTGAAATGTCTAATTTTCATGTCCGCCATTAAAATCGGCCATTTTGAATATTTGCAATCAGCAAAGGTCTGTGACGTCATAGTCTTAACACAGCAAGAAGCGCACATTGGAAAGTATACAAAGTAATACATAAATAGAGCAAAAAAATGTCAAATTCATCGAGATCTAGCTCGCTTTCTGAGTCCTCGATCGAGACAAACGCATTGATTTCTTCATCGGAATTCATGACGGCAAATTCGGACGAATCCAATTCGGAAATTTTGCCATTTGCCGATAATATTGAACCGCTTGCTTCGCCCGATGAAATTGCTGAGTACGAAGCTGCAGTCGCAGAAGAACGGCAGGTTGAGGACATGCTGCAAGATCGTTTTGATGCCCGTGTTGATGTTACTTCATGGTAAGATGTCATTCTTAGTGTGTTACTTTGATCTGAATCGTCTGCCGTTAGCTATGATAACTTTATGGAAACATACAATTTGGCCAATATTAAAGGTGTGAATGTGGCCATTGTTCGTTGGATCTTGTTGTCAACCCTCAAGAGTGCCGATGCTGCATGGAATTAGAGCAATGCCGTGGTAAAATGTATCAGTTCGAAGTCGATGAAAGGAAATGCATTTTGGATCACCCTGGTTTTAACGAAGTTTGCCTGAACGAATTTGTTCTTCAAGCAGCTTCGTTAGGTTTAAAGACCAAAGGTCATCGCAGTTATGCGACCGTTTTTCGAGATGGTCAAAAGACCAGAGAGGAGTAAGCCTTTTTCTTTGTGAAAATTCTAAAAATAATATTTTGTGCGCCTGCATCTATGATTACTTTTTGAAATTTATAGGTTCTTTCGAGCAGTATCGTACAGACAACTCGTGCGTCTTGTATGGGACTTTACAGGCAGCTCCAGACATTTGCCACTGCCTTGTTGTTGTTACAACAAAATACGGACGACATTTCCGAACAATAAGTGTCTTCCTTACAAAGGATTCGAAGAGGATGAGGACATATAGCAATGTAAAAAGGTGATGGAAAAAGCTATCATAGGTGGTATATTTACAAAATTTACAAATATACATTTATATTATTGACAACTGCCCTTCTTGTGACCTTTCATAGGCTGCACATTTCTTGCACAATGGATTTCTTTTTTTAGCTGTATGCTCTTGACCTGTACCAAGCAAATCTTGTAATTCTTCATCTGTGCATGTGGGGGGACAGTCAGTGTTAAGTTTACGTTTTCGAGAACGAAACAAGGTAATTGCATCAACTTTTGCTTGCTTTTCAGAAAGCATCATGTGCATTGGCTCTGGAGTGTGTCTCCTCAATTCATTTTCAACTTCTTCAAGCTTTTTCCTTGGAGTCTTCAGCAAAGTGTCATAAATTTCTTCAACATATGCTTCAACAAAATTGGTAAATAATCCATTAGTGTGTTGTAAATACAACACATGCATTTAATTTCTCATGCTCATCAATTAAACTCACAGAAGTTGCTTCACCTTAACATTTCGTACAGTTCCTTCTCCCTCCTTATACTTTGTATATGTGAACCGAAGACGAGTTTCGCCATCAAGTGTAGTCTTGCTAGCCCTCCGCAAATTAAAGTTGAAATGTAATGCTGCTAAGATGGACCTACAATGAAAATTATTAGTTAACTTTATTTCATTATCACATATTCTTTGTCTTGAATTTTATCAAACTGTGAATAAGAGAAATGAATCATTTTTGGTGCGAAATGATTAACAACTGAATGGTATCCCTCCAAACAGCTGGTCTGGGCAACAGAAGATGCTTGTTTGATAGCTTTAACAAGTTGTAACTTGTGCTAACCTGACGCCGCTCTCTTGACGTTGTTGGTGTTGGCGATTTCTTCCAAATAGTAGGTACGGCACCAGGTTTGAGCCGTCTAGTCATACCACCCAAATGGAAAAAACGCTCAAAACAATCATCCGAGAAGTGATTCGAACAAATCATAAATCGAGTTTCGCGCGAACTCGGATTAAAGTTTGCGCGCTTCGTCTCAACAAATTTAACCCAAATTCTTCTCAAAGACTCGTCGTTTGGGCTTTTATGTAATGAAATGCCTGTACTTCTATCAGACGTATTACTGCAATCTTGCACGACACAGCGTGTTGAAGGCATGTTAAAAAATTGAGTTATACAACCTTTTATATCTCTATTTGTATATAGTGTTTTATTGTAAACAGCCACGAGTTAAGACTATGACGTCACAAGCACCTTCCTTCTTGAAAATTCAAATATGGCGCATTTTAATGGCGGCTCTTAAAGTACAAGTTTTATCGCTACGTAACTCGAGCAGCATTAAATACATTGCGCTAAAATTTCGCCAGAAGAGATTTTTTTACATACACTATTAAACTATGAAAAAAAAACGGGAGGCAAAATTTTCGTCATAGTACCACTTTAATAAAGCTCTGAATGATACATGTCAACAGAAATTAATTAATATTACATAATATTACAAAGCATACACATACACAACATAAAATGATTGGAATTTGGTATTTCAGAACAACACAAAATGTTTGCAACTTGTTTGGTTTAGCAGGCACTATTTTTAAGTGTGGTGAGTGGTGTGGCAGTGTGGCTGCAGGCTGAGAAAATTGTATCAGGGTTATTTTATATCTCAGAGGTTAAGCAAGACAAGACAGTTGCTGAGATCAAACCTTTCGATAACACTCTATGCACTGCCTTTACTATTGTATTTCTTATACACAAATACTTCAATCAATTTTGTAAACCCCCACAAATATTAATTCTGTGACTACTAGCAGAAGTTCAAATCATCAAGATAAAACAAATAGCAATTAATGAATTAAATGTTTCAAAAAATATAAATATATTTTCAAACCGTGTACACATCAATAAGTTTAACACATTTGTGATTGTATACAACCTGATTCAACAATGCATAAAATTTGACGTAAAAGTGTATCTTTCAATGTTTTTAATAATGAATGTTACATTAAACAAAATCTCATTATAACAAAATCTACTCATGAAAATGTTAAATACAATGGGATTTGATATGTGACAAAATTTCCTCATAATAAAAAGGACAATGTTTTCAAACATTTGTTGTTCAGGCTACGCAGATGTACGCAATGCGTACCTATTTTTGAATTTTTGAATCAGTTTAAAACAATGAGGTGTTTGCTAAGCTTCTTTATTAAGTTTTTTATAAGACAAAAATCTATGTATTGCATTTTAATTCTCATTAAAAGCGTGTCATATAACAATGTTATTTATACATATATGTTGCTGCAATATACTTATATATTTATAAAAAAATGATAATATCTTGCAATTATTCACAACACTGTGTTTGAGCACTTTTTTACCTTGAGTACTTTCTATTCAAATTTATATGTTTATATAAATAAATCAACAATATTAAAAACTCCATTGAAGCATATATATTTGCTTACCTTTCATATATAGAATTAAGTGTTTAAAGATTGGTAATCCAAGCATTACATTGTTTAAAAAAAGGTTTCTCCGGATTTTATAAATAATTTTATAAATTCTCCGGATTTTATAAATAATTTTTGAGTCAACAGCTAGCTGTTGACTCAATATTCTGCTAAAACACAAGCCGTTTATACTTTCCACTTGAGAGTTTAATAATTCATCAAGTTTTTCTACATACACTTAATTTTGTTAAAATAAAAAAAATTTCCGGATTTTATAAATAATTTTATTGAGTTTTTGACTCGTTGCTTCCAGCCTTCATCAGAATGAGGAAGTTATCTATTTACAGTTGCTTTTAGCTTGTAGACGCTTAGAGCGTCTAATTGGATTAGCGGGTGAATTAATGTGATTGGATGGGGTGAAATGCGCTGCCATGGGTTTTGGTGTATTGTGCATGTGATTGGTGTTGATATTATTAGAGAACGAAGCAACGAGTCGAAAGCTCAATAAAATTATTTATAAAATCCGGAAATTTTTTTTATTTTAACAAAATTAAGTGTATGTAGAAAAACTTGATGAATTATTAAACTCTCAAATGGAAAGTATAAACGGCTTGTGTTTTAGCAGAATATTGAGTCAACAGCTAGCTCACTTTGTTTTTGGTAAAACTAGAAGCCATATGTAGTGATGTAAGACTAACTTCTAACCTTTTAAAAACAAATCAAAAATAACCCTAAAATATCCTCTTACGTATTTGTGTTCCAGGAGATCTGGCAGCAGCGGAAGAATTTCATATCGAAGCTTTATCTATCCGAGATCATCACTCTGTTACGTCATGGCATCCTGACGTCATCAAAAGTCTGCACAATCTTATGTTGGTATACACTGCTGATGAAAAATTTTCATTAGCAACAGCATATGCTTATGAGATGTTTAAGCTCTGTGAGAAAGTTCACGGATGTCGAGATAGGAAGACAGTCGAGGCTTACCGAAAGCTGACAAACCTATCGCAGCGTTCATGTCAAGGGCGTAGTCATTATTTGTATTCTACAGTTTACGAAAAGATTGAAAGATTGTCTTGTCTATAGAGCCTCAGACATCAACAAATAATAACAGATTAAAGAAAATGCTTTGATCTAACTGTTCAGTTTAGTAATATTCCTTTTGTTGAGTTTATTTGTAAAATTAGTAAAAAAATAATAAATAATTGCTTAAGAGTTGTTTTGATAGATGGCAAGTAAGAAAAGATGCTTATTGTATTATGAGAGTTCAGCCTTGCTCAATAAATCGGAATACTCATTTAAAAAGATCTCTCTTTTATTCTAGTTGTCCCGCCTAAATGAGTTGACACTTTTTGTGAGAGCATGCACACGTGGCTTACCTTGATTCAGTCCGTCCATGTAATCGCTTCAAAAATAAGACCGAGGGTATCTGAAATCCTTGATATGGGTTCCAAGTAGCATCTATTTTTCATTTGTTGCAAGCGGGAATGGCATAATCAAACGTGCAAAGATATCAGCAAGGGTTTACAATATGATTTTCAAAACTATACTCTTTATTTGTACAATTTTGAAAGAAAAGATGCGTGTAACATGTTCTAAAGTCATTTTAAATGTTTTTGACCTTTTACTGCCCCGAATGTGTGTTCTACCTTATTTTGAAATCAGTTTGTTCTTTACGTTGTTATTTTCAAATAAATCAGTAAACTTTTTAGTAGCTCTACAGCATGGAAAGACAAGTAAACAATTAAATCAATTAATTCGTCTTAACAGACACTAAGTACCTTAACGATATTGTTAACGTCCCAAAACCCTGTAATATTTCGTCTTTATGCTGCATAATCATCAAAAAAGCAAGATAAATATCAACTTTGGAAGTTTATTAAACTTTGGAAGTTTACTGATTCAATTTACGTCGTTTAGTCTTTTTATGCCGTTTTCTTTGCCACCGAAATTCGCTTAGAAAAACAATTCCCCTGCCATCGGTCGGGCACTAACTTTAATTTGCATGCCGCTATACATTTTCATACCCTAAATTAGAATTTACTTGTTGTCACGCGTATAAGCCTGCAGTTTATTAGCATTTCGCCATCAAACATCAACAATTTTTGCTGTTATGAAACATGATTGCCACCATTGTTCCCGTGGTTACTTCATTTAATTTACGGTGATATTACTAGTTCCAGTTCCCTATGTGTCTTATTTTTGCTCGGACGTCAACAACTTATGCATATTTGGTAACTTTTATTCAATGTTTTTTGTAGAAAATACGACAAATTACAGTTAAAAATATAAAATATCATACACTTCACAAAATTTTTTTTGATAAATATAATACTTTGCATTTAAAATTCATGAATGTCGTCTAAATTCCCACAAGTGCTTTCGATGTTCTAATCTTTATTGAACTCTCTTCATCGCCTTTATCTGATGTATTTTCGTAGTTAACACAAAAACATAAATCCGTGCAGACTAGGTTAGCTTTTCTACATGAATATCACATTCTTGTACCCCCCATCTTACGTTGGCAGTCCACGCCCAGTCAAGAATGAGCTGAAGCTGGAAGACGATACGTCATCCATACGATCTCAATACCTCTGCTTGAAAGCTGACACTCGTTACAAATTGGGAAAGGAAGAGTTATTTTGGGTAAAAAAGACAGTGTCTAAGAACACTGTCACATGTTGGTGGCAATAGTTCATTTGAACATTTTCCTCCCTAAAACAGTGTGTATCGGCATTCATCTATATTGTCACCATATAATAGGCAAGTGAATATGTTTAGAACATATTAATAGTTGTTTGTGCGAGGGCAGAATCATACACCATTGCGGATGACAAGGCGACACAGTGTCCAAAAGCCGTACAAAATGCTATTGAATCATGCTTGAACAACCAGAAATTTGTCTAACAGCTGTTGTTAAGGCTATAGATTTGGGCGCTTGGATTTTCCCTTTACTGCTAACGTTGATCAGATCTTGACATAATGAAAAAACATTAATCGCGAGCTTTTGACCAACTTTAACATATTCTGACAAATCCGGGTCTCCTGAAAACCAGCATCCACGCCTAAAATTGCACAGAGTTGGCATAACAATTTTCCTTACTCTCATCATTTATGTCTCAAAATTTACACTCAAATTGCACAGAGTTGGCATAACAATTTTCCTTACTCTCATCATTTATGTCAGAAGCAAGGGGAGGCCAGTTTTAGTACCAGGAGTTGGTACTAGTACGTAGATCGCCCCGTAATGTTAGCGCCTTCTTAAATACTTCTTTCATTAAAGGTCTTCATCTTATTGCAGCTGCCTTTTCAAACATCATGTTTGAAAAATTCAGTTTCCGTGTCCATATCATTTTGCAAAGTTTCTGTTTCTTGATTTAAATATTTTTGTTCCACCGTTCCTTGACAAAGAGTTTCAACGTGCACAATTTCGCTTTTGTTCCATTCTTTTCAAATAAAGAAAACAGTTTGAAGGAATCTCTCCCGCAATCTCTCTTTCAAACAAAAATTTCTATGATTGGACGCATTTGTAAGTTTAATTTCTGCGACTGTTTTAACAAACTCAGCTTTTATTCTCTTCATAAAAAGTTTTCTCTGTTTATAAGCAGTCTTTTCTTAACGACTCTTTCGCAAAAAACTTTAACGGATTCTTCGTGTTTGGATGAGTATCTATCTTAGTTTTCAGAACCACCAGCTTTCTTCTGTTACATTGCTGCGTCTAAAAAAGCTAGTGTATCGTTCGTAACACCGTTTATGATTCCTAACCTCTAAAGCTACAAAATATCTATCAGGCGATTGATTATATTTTGGCACGACATTGTTATAGTGATAATTTAACAGTTATCAGTTGACGATATTATCATAGAAGCGAGAAAATATCAATGATAAAATAAACTCGTTACATATTGTTTAATGCAAAATCACAAAGGAAAAACTTACTGTAGCTATTTGGTTTATCTGTTTTTGTGTATTAGGAAAAAGAAAAAGATTTTTTGTTGTCCGTGTGACTTTTTAATACAAAGATGAAAAGAAATCTTGCAAATATTCCTAACAGTGGCGTCGCCAGCTCCATAAAGTGAGGGGATTTTATTCATATAATGGTATGCTGGTACATTTGCCGGTATTTGCTGGTATATTTTTTTACAAAGGAGAGCTGGTGTAATATGTTTTTCAAAACAGCCTTACAAAATGAACTGTCTTTCTCAAGCTGTTAAAATTTTATGTAATTTTTTTATTTCCTTTGCCTATACGCTTGTAAAAGTTTGTAAATGATTTTTTGAGTTAAAATCACAAAAGAAAAGAGATTTCTTCTGGAGAAATTAAAACCATTGACCTTCACATATACTCATGCACTGCTTAATAGTCCAATTTACTAATTGATTTGGCTACAGGATAATGCAAGGCTACCTAAGAAAACTTTTAATTTCAAACATAAGCTGGTACTAAAGTATTTAGTTTACAAATAACGCAGTAAAAACATAAAGGCAATTTTTGTAAAAATGAAAAACAATTCCAATTTGCTCCTGAAGTTAATCAAACCTAGACCTTTTGCTTATAGTTGTGCACATTTTTCAAATGTATTTGTACAATAAAACAAAAAGAAACTTACAATGCTTCAGGAGGGGATCGAACCCTCGACCTTCGCATATACTCATGTACTGCTTATAAGTACGATGCACTAACCGACTGGGCTACAGGAGCGTGTATGCCCTGGCTTAAAATATCTTATTATTTGATAAAAATTAGTACTTTAGTATTTAGTTATAAAAATTACACAACTTAAAGCTTTATTCGCTATTTAGAAATGACGTTTATGTATCGACAAGACATTACGAAGTAACAACCTTTTTAAAAACCTTACAACATCTAAATAGTTGACTGGTTCCCATAAACTTTTAAAAAGAGATAAGCAATAAAAATATTAAGTCCATCAAGACAGCAAGTCCAGCAAGTTAAACTTAAACTTATATTAAAGCAGTAAATTTGATTATAAGAAGTTGATATATTTATTTACGATCATAAATGCTACTACACGCGCGAGAAAATACTCTAGTCGATTTATACTTAATGTAAATTGCAACTGGGATATTAGGATGAAGCGAGGTTTTTTAAGTGTTACAAGCTTTTCTTTGCTATGATACATGCTTATAGTTACTGAAAAAATAAGTATTATTTAACAAACCTAGGCATGTAATTTATGGAGAAAACATTTAGTCAGCAATTGTCCAATGCCATTATGCCATTAATTTTTGGTTGTATTAAGTGCACCTGTTATACATTGTTTACAAAGTACATCATGCAGCAGATGTATACGTCCTTTTACAATACAATCAAGAAACAATTAAAATATGATAGTTGATTTCTATTACAATTTTTCGAAAAAAGAAAAGATTGCATTTCCATAAACACATTACCCTAAAAGAATTCAATTACTGCGCTTGAAAAAGCACCAAAAGAAATAACAGGCCCTGTTGCAAAGTGTTTGCTCGGTACCTAATGACATCATGATTTCAAACATCTGTGGCATCATTATCAATTTATTATAGCATGGAAAAAGTTCTCTAATATAAGACGCAGACAGTACGAGAAAAAACTTTTACCTATTTTCAAAGGCTTTCAAAACTTTGAGCAGCTTGGTCCACATGCTGGCGTACAGAAGACTTTTAAAACTTGGACTTTTTGGCATTTTCGTATTTTTGTGATAAAACTTAGTTCCAAATGCACAAAGCAAAAAATGAATGTTTTAAAAATCTCGCACTGATTTGCACGTATACAAAATTACATGAAATTTTGATAGCTTGGGAAAGACAATCAATTTTTGTAAGCAAGGTCTGTTTTGAATGAAATATTACAGCAGCTCTCTCACTGGTAAAAAATGTATTGGTAAACATTTAACTGCCAATTAAAATTAGTATAAGTGCTATTGCGTCTTGTTATAGAGGTTCAATTTTTTCATATATATGTCTTGTAGACTATACGTAGTTATAAACAATTAGCTCATAACGGAAGCCATGTTTGTCTTCTTAATTTGCATACGTATCTCATATTTACTTACTAATGTGTATTATAGTGGTATATCAAAAATATCAGGTCAAGTTTAAAAGTTGAGAAGATATAATAGTAACCCGTCCTTAATCATGTCACTCATTGACCATTCTACATTTATAGTTCAAATAGTAGCTGCACACATAAGACGAACGAGCACCAAAAAAATCCAAACTGCTTTAGACAGCATAATTAATAAAAAATGTTAGTTGCTATTAAAAACTCATAAAAATCTGATGGAGAGATCTTACAATTTCTCG